GGGCACATTAAATGTCTTATTATTTTACGTTAATATAGACATATTTATTAATCCATCTATGATATTTTCTTCAAAATTATATAAGAAACACATTACAGAGCATATAAACATGCAATGTTTATATGCTATGGAGGGATGGTAGTCAGTGGAGGGAAAACATTTTTTCTCTGGTCCAGCACCAGAGAAAAGTTTATGTATGATTCTGCGTTGGCCCAGTCACTTCCCCCTTAATACATAACACTTTTGTTTATAATTCTCGGCATGAATTATTCAGTACTTCTCCCTTTGTTTATGATGGCGTCTAAAGGTAGTTGTTAGAAACTATTAAACTCGGTGAACATTCTATGTCGATGGTAATAATATGGCTCTGGGTCACATTAAATATTGTGTAGCTATGTAGGTAGGCATAGGTATATAGTCCAGGCGGATTACATACCTACATATACCGGCTACCTACACCTGACTTCCTACAAATAAGTACTACTCGCCTCTGGCCCTGCATTAAGACTACAAATGTTTTAAGGTAAGTAATGAATGTAGTGTGTATGTATTTTACTTTATATTGTGTTTTTTAATGCCTAGTTCTATTACTAACTTAATATAAGTTAGTGTAAACTTGACAACCCTACGCCTGTTGTGGAATCTATTGTGACTTTGGGGAAGTCCATGGGGTTAGATGTGAGTGGCCAGGATGTGGAAGAGTTGGTGGACGACCACAGGGAAGAGCTAACCACTGATGAGCTGCAACACTGTAGTTATTTTCTATAAAATTTATTTTTTGGTAATATTTTTGGGTATCTGGAATGGATTAATTAGATTCACATTATTTCTTATGGGAAATGTTACTTCGGTTTTCGTCCATTTCGGGTTTCAGCCGACTTTTTGAAACGGATTAAGAACGGAAACCGGGGTTCCACTGTAATTTATAATAATAATTTATAATAGTAATAAATAATCACTCTGGAGCGCTTTAAATGTCACATGTATTTCGTATAGGTTTGTTAGCTGACATTTAAAGCATTCCAGAGCAATTATTGTTATTACCATTGACATAACGTGTTACGTGAATTTAATCATTTCTTAGGCTGCCATGAGACACCGAGAATGTAAACACAGACGAACACACCAGCTTAACTTTTTACTGTGAACTTCTTTTGTACTTCTTCCATTTTCCTCTTGTTTTTCCTCTTCCAACTGCAGCTGCGCTTCTAACTCTATCTTCTACTATGGGATGCACAATAAAGTAGAAATTTATAGACAAAATATGTGTTCTTGGAGACTGCTTGATGCTGAGATGCATCACTAACCCCTTTACAATGAACTTCTTTTGTAATTCTTCCATTTTCCTGTTTTTTTTTCCTCTTCGAAGAGGAAAAAAAAACAGGAAATTTGTACAAATATGTAGTCTTTGGAGACTGTGAAATTACTGAGTGGCTGTAGGAAGGAGATTGAGATGTTTGATGCTGAGACGCTGTGCTGCCCTTTCACGACCCAAGTTCTCATACAGTATACAGTAATGACTCGTCAGAGAGCCCGTTGTAACTCCGAGTTTTCGGTAAACAAGTACATCGGTAAGTGAGGAGAAGCTGTAAGGTATGCAGTAGGTATTGTATATATGCACATGCATTAATTCATCACACAAAAATTTTGATAACACTCATTATAAATTATTGTTTTGAACAAAAAATGCTGAAATACATAAGGGCTACTCACCTTACCTTGTATTATGTAGGATGTCTTCTACCTGATGCACTCCTTTCGTCTTCTAGGCACTGATAAGGCTAAAGTGAGAAGGATAGAAAGGTCACTACTCTTTCATACCTGCTTAATGGGATAGTGGACATGTCCATGCCATGAAACTTATGCTTAATTATGTTCCACATATTCTGCATCAGATTCAAGTCCGATGAGTTATTGGGCTAGTTTTTAACCCTTTCAGGGTCCGTCCCGTAGATCTACAGCTTTGCGTTCAGTGTCCAAACCGTAGATCTACGTCATGAGCTCAGCTCACTCTGATAAACTGTGAGTGGTACACTTGGGCCTAGATATGAGAGAATACATCTATGTGGTATGTGTGCACCACATAAAACAAATCCTGCAGCACACTGTGTATAATGAGAGAAAAAAACTGAAACCAAGATTTTTGATTAAAACAGCAAATTTGCAGTGTTTTTTCGTATGTTTTTTATAGTTGTATTTGCAATTTCTTGGTCTCATTTGATAGAATGGAAGACATATTACAGAAATAGAGATGATTTTGATTGGTTTTAGCACCGGAAATGGCTTGAAACTGAGCTCAAAGTAGCGGAAATGTTAAATTTTTGTCGATGTTCAAGAGTAAACAAACGACCTCACACATATAATACACGCCAGCTGGTGGATCTAATACACATTCACAAATGTGGTGATGATATTTATACAATTATTACAATATTGCATAACAGTAAATCTTCTATTTTTTGGTGTGAATAAAAATTCATTATGTAAATAAAAAATAAAAATGGGATTTATTTGTAAAGCCTCAAAACGTAACTAATGAACCGAGGAAATGTTAGTTTAGTGCCAGGAATGCCTACATTGTTTATTCTGGATGCTATTTTGAAATTGGAATATTTTGAACTTTGTGTTAAATTGGCCAAATTACCAATTTCCGATCACTTTATTTTGTAGTTGAAACAGTTGACTTGAATAGAAGTAATACTAGTAAAATAGCTAAGAATTTGGTCGACTGGAATGATGTAATTGGCCTAAAATGGAAGTCAAAGTCGGCAAAATCGCCGATTCATAAATATCGCTGACACATCAAAATTCGCAAGAGCATAATTTCGTCAATTTTCCATCAAATTTCGTACTTTTTGTTTTATTACCTTCGCAAAAAGATTCTCTACCATTTCATAAGAAAAAATAATTTTTTTTTTGGAAAATTCTTGGACACTGGGGCACCACTTCAGATTTGGGCCTTGGACCCTGAAAGGGTTAAAGATTGGTGTTTCATGATGATTTAGCTAAGTGTTCATCTTGGGCAGTGTAGCGAGGGGCACCACCTTGCATACAAAAGTTGTATTGGCATTTATCGAAACTGTCAGCAAATAGTTTGGTAAAGGCATATGTGCATACATATTTATGATGCCAATTATATAAATCTGCTCCCTTTAACCTTTTGACTGTCGCAACCCCCAATCCTGAGGTGTCTCCTGGTGTCGCAAAATTTAAAAAAAAAAAAATATTTTGTCTTATGAAATGATAGAGAATCTTTTCCCGATTGTAATGACACCAAAAAAACGAAATTTGATGGAAAACTGACGGAATTATGCTCTCGCGAAGTTAGCAACCTCGGCGCTGTTTACAAATCGGCGATTTCGCTCACTTTGAGCCCTATTTTCGGCTAATTTCGTTGTTCCAGTCGCCCAAACTCATAGCTATTTCTTTAGAACTCCATTTTTTCTATCGATTGAGTACAAGAAACTGCCCATTTACCAATTTCAACTACCTAATAATGTGGTCAGAAATTTGCAATTTGGCCAATTTCACGAAAACTAAAAAATATGACAATTTCAAAATAAGGTCCAGAATGAACAATGCAGACATTCCTGGCTCTAAAATAACATTTTCTTTGCTCATCAGTCATGTCTCCAGGCCCCTCTGTTATTACTCTTGCTTTCTATTTTGAATTTTTATTCAAACAAAAAATAGAAGACTTACTATTATGCAGACTACTCCAATACTGTAATAATTGTATAAATAACATCAACCCATTCATGACTGCATATTAGAATGGCTAGTTGGACATTTATTGGACAATGGCATCATTTGTTTACTTTTGAACATTGGCAAAAATCAAACATTTCCCTTACTTTGAGCTCCATTTCTAGATTCTTTTTATAGTAAAATCAATGAAAATCACCTCTATTTCTATAACATGCTTTCCATTCTATCAAATGAGACCAAGAAAACGAGAATACAACCATAAATACTATACGAAAATAGACCACAAGGTCAGCATTTTAATTAAAAAAACAGTCTGAGTTTTTTTTTTCTCATTATGCACTGCGTGCTCCAGGATTTTTTTTTATATGATGCACACTGACCACACAGACCCATTCTCTCACATGTGGGCCTACCAGCTTTCTCCTGCTTGATTTGAAGCCGCTAGAATTTGAGTGTATATACGTCAAACACGGTACCTCGTAAGACGTATATATACGGCCGCGACAGTCAAAGGGTTAAAGTTCTTCCACAGATCTGTGGGAAATTCCCATAAAGTGGCAATGCTGCTTTAGGGGGACATATATCAATGCCTTACTGTTTTTGTATGGACAGTTGTAGGTGTCCCCCTCTTTTGGCATACGAGGTGCACCTCTTCTCTCAGTGTGGGAGGTTCTCTCTCCCTCCCTTTCCCCTCACGGAAGGTTCCTTGAAGTTGGTGAGGGACTCTTGATTTAGGGAATTGGATCTGTGCTCCAGTTCCCTGAATTAAGCCTGAATGCCTTCTACATCCCCCCGGCGCTGTATAATCCTATGGGTTTAACGCTTCCCCTTGATTATAATAATAATAATAATCTCCCTCCCTTCCCTTAATTTTTTTCTGTTCTGTCTAACATAACTCAGAAATCTTTTATCACTAACCTCCCTTTATCATAAATAACTATTTCACACCCTCTACTTTACCTACTCTCTACCTTCTTTGCCTGTACCCATATGCATTACTTTTGGCTTCTATAAATGGGTTTGTTGATCAGGCAATCAGTAAGGAAGCTTGTCCTCAGGGTTGGTTGGTAGACCTTAAAAAAGTCATAGGTCTGTTGCAGGTAATGTAAATTAAACTACAGCATTTATCAGATCCTTATCCTTGTCATTAATTGTGGGTATGGCACGTATTTTTTTAATGTGAGAATTTCATGTGTGATAGCATGTTTTTGTTATAGTTTTAAGATATGAAGTACAGTACATACTTCAGAGAAAAACATTTATTCTAACTGTTTCTTAATGTACTTTTATAGCATCCTGGTGGTGAGGAAGTACTGCTTGAGCAGGCTGGAACAGACGCAACAGAAAATTTTGAAGATGTAGGCCATTCAACTGATGCTCGGGAAATGATGAAGGAATATTATATTGGAGATATATCAGAGGTACATCTTCTTAAAACTAATTGATGATATACTTTAGAAGTACAGTATAATGATTGTAGATGCTGTCTTATGAATAATGTGTGTATGGGAATATTTTATTTTTTATTTACTCTGGAGGAAGTGCTAAATCCTAGTGTTTTGGGATAGATAATTATGCAGTAAAAGGGAACAAAAGACAAAAATTGGATTGAATTGGGAATTTTTTTGACATTCTTCATTATGCTTTTCAGGAAGACAAAAAGCACTCGCAAGACAAAGGTCCAAAATCTTGGTCAAGTGAATCTTCCTCAAGTGAAAGGTAAGGAATACAATGTACAGCACTAGGGCAACAACAACTGAAACTTTCATTTGCTACTGAGGTAAATGTGTGTCCATGAATAACTTGAGTACTTACTATATAATGATTCCCAGTCTGAAGCAATGTATGTTATTAATAACCAAGCACATTAGGATTTTTAGTTACAGAAAATTGTAATTTTTCCATGGATTGTTTGTTAAAGCACATTGTATTTTTTAGGTATGTACTAGCTACATAATTGTTGCCAGCTCATCATCAATATTCAAAATACAGTAAAACCTCAGTGTAACATACTAGTGGGGACATTCTCAGAGTGTCTGCTAAATCACTTTAAAAATTGTCAAAAGAGCAATTAAATAATTTTACTGTACACCTAACATAGGTGTACAGAAGGCCTGAGCTTGCTACCACCTGCAGCTCACAAGACTGCCATCCCCACGAGCCCCTTTGGGGCGGGGCAGATGGCAGACCAGAGGCCTAGCTTCTCCCTACGAGCCCCGTGAGGGTGGGGAATGTGGCTAGGCCTGGGGACAGTTGGTCCCAAAGATGAGGGGGTACTTGTACCTCCTCCAATGGGAGATTTAGGTCTCGAGACACTTCCCAGATAGGGAGCCAAGGCCGGGTCACCACTACTTGGAAAAGACCCGGGCCGGGAGAATCCCGGCGAATAAAAAAAAAAAAAAAAACCTAACATAGTGCTGTAGGTACAATTTACAAATATCCTACAATAAAAAATTAAAGTAAATGAGTTAAAAGTACAATTTATTCAGTTGATTTTTTCTGCTTTTGAAGTTTGTTATACGTATTTAGGATTTACAGTATGGGAGAATATTGAAAAATGCATGACTCTTTTCAGGAAATGTTCATTAAAATAACAAGCACATTACACAGTTAACCCTTTGAGGGTTCAGACCCCTAATCTGAGACTTGTTAACAGGATCCAAGAATTTAAAAAAAAAAAAAAAAAAAAATTGTTTTTCTTATGACATGGCACAAAATACCTCCAATAAATACTAGGTGATCAAGGGAGCACACAGAGAACTTGTTGAATGTCAGAGGCACCTGAGTCTTCAACGTCCTTCCTCTGCGCTTTAAAGGGGATTACCAACAAACATCTGTCTTTTTGCAAGAGAAAACTAGACAAGTTCCTGAAATCAGTTTCTGACCAGCCGGGCTGGGGGCTCGTACTTTGCATTACATGTGACCATCAGCCTGGTTGATCAGGCTCTGATCCACCAGGAGGCCTGGTCACAGACTGGGCCGCGGGGGCGTTGACCCCCGGAACTCTCTCCAGGTAAACTCCAAGTAAAGGTAGCAAATCAAAAAGTATGAAATTTAATGGAAAAATTGACGAAATTATGCTATCACAAATTTTGCTGTGTAATTGATATTTACTAATCAGCGATTTTGTCTACTGAGTCTTTCTGTGGGCCAATTATATTGTTCCAGTTGACCATATTCACTAATATACCTTTCTTTTTTAGCAAAATGAGCATAAGAAACTGCTCAATCAACTACTTCAGCTACCCAATGGTGATCAGAAATTGGTAATTTGTCCAATTTCACAGATTTCAAAATATTTCATTGCAGGTATTCCTGGCACTAAAATAAGATTTCTGTGGAAAATTAAATTTACCTGGATGTAACTCATAAGATACATACCAGTAAATGGTAACACAGATAATTATTTTTTATCAAAGTTACAGAGACAAGTAGGAATTTTAGGACACCTAGGTCACAAAAAAATGTCCCTCTTCGATACCTACTACTGTCATATCCACAAGTCACTCTTGACCCATATTAATTTCAAATGAAATATACATTACCAGGAATTATGGTAAACATTAATATAAATATGTGGACTGTATGTTAAAATTAATAAATGATTACATATACACATTTAGGTAACATAAGAAGAATTTATATCATGAGACTTGCCAATTTGTCTGAGATTACGGTGTGTCATACCCCCCTGCCTAAATATGAAGAAAATACTGGCCAGAATCTCAACATAAATAGACAACGACTTAGCTGGGGTTCCTAAGCTGTCCTGTCCATCTGCTTAATGCTCATGTTATGCAGGACTGCAAATCCAACAATTTCGGCTCCTATTTGGGAAGTTTCAAACACAATTTAACTTCCAGAGCGACGAAATTTATGCACATTTCATTAGTGTGCCTGTACCACATTAAAAAACAATGGCGTGTCTCTGCTCGTCAGCGCAGACGCAGAGTTTCCCTGTCGGGTCACTTCTTTAACCCTTTGAGGGTCGACAGGCCCTCTCCGAAACTCGTTCTCAGGGTCGGCCAAATTTAAAAAAAAAAAAAAAAAAAAAATTTTTTATGAAAAAATAGTTTTTTTTCTAAACATTATAGGCTAAACAAAAAAATTTTAACGTCAATACTTGCCGAGATATGGAGGCGTGAAATTTGCCAAAATTGAACAACATCTGGTAACATCGCCGACTGCCGTCACCCGGTATTTTTCTATTTACTTTTTTATGTACTATTTTCAATTATTTTTCAATTTTTCTTTTTCTGAGTAACTTTTATGGCCTCTGAGGCCAACATGATCAGTATTTTGTAAGTTATTTCTTTTTCAATACTACAAAAGGGCGTAAACACTGTTGTCATTATTTTGTTTATAGAAAATATTTACACAAACAAACGATATGAAATGTTGTTTATTACTATTTTTCTATATTTTATATACACACATACAGTCACAGGGAATGTTTCTAGAAGTTCTGAAGCCTGTGGAAGTCTTTGAAACATGGTGTCATGCACAGTGGTGTTTTACACTCCTCACACATAAAACGAGTGTCTCTGCATTGTTGTGGGCGTTTTTTTGTATGTGCACAGACGTAACACCTCTTCTGAGCCTTTTTCTTGAAAGCAGTAGCAGGCAGTTTTACCAGGAAGTGATCACCATGCTTCAGACGAGCAGGTAGTTGTTGATAATTTGGTGGGCGGTCAATTGCAGGTGCTGTTCCTTGGTACTTGAATACTATTTGTCTGATGACAGACAAACAGAATTCGCCGTACTGTGGTTTGTTTCTGGTCCTCATCTTATACATATTATAAGCATTGAGCATGGAAATGTCCAGAAGATGGAAAAACAGTTTGATGTACCACTTATAACTCTTGCAAACACAATCAGCAAACCCAATCTGCATGTCACATTTGTCCACTGAATGCATGTTGAAGGTGTAATCAATCACAGCTGCAGGTTTTAGAATGGGTTCATTGCTCTCTCTATGCTGCCTGCCACTGTCTGCCATTTCATTAGGGTGAACTGATGACAACAGTGTGACATCTCGTTTGTCATGCCACCGAAATGCCATGATGTCATTGGCAGCAAATGCCTGCACCTCACCTCTACGAGTGCCAGCGTCAAACCTGGGCATGTGTTTCCGATTTGCACGCACTGTGCCACACACATCTGTCATGTTCACACGCAAAAAATCACTGAGTGAGGGGCTTGTGTACCAGTTATCTGTATATAATATATGCCCCTTACCAAGGTATGGTTCTATCATTGTTCGAACCACATCACCTGAGATGCCCAATAACTTCCTGGTATTTTGCAATGTATAACTTCCAGTGTACACAATAATATCCTATACCAGACCACTGTAACAATCACAAAGCACAAACAACTTTATACCAAAGCGTTTCCTCTTGCTTGGTATGTACTGCTTGAAAGAGAGTCTTCCTTTGAACAGAATCAAAGACTCGTCAATTACAAGCTTCCTGAAGGGATAAAAATGCGTACTGAATTTCTCTTTCAGATACACAAACACATTCCTAATCTTATATAACCTGTCAGTTCTGTCAGGCCTGGTTTTATCTGAGAAGTGAACCATACGTAACATTAGCACAAATTGATTCACTGGCATTATATCACTGAAACCTGGGGTTGCAATCAGGCGATCTGTTGACCAGTATGATTTCACTTTGTGCTTATACACATGTGGCATAAGCATTATTGTGGCAAAGAAAAGATACATCTCAGCCACAGTTGCCTCCTTCCACTGGTGTAGACGTGATTTTGGTGAAAGTAATGTGTTTGCCATGGTGTACTCGTAGTATGTGTTGCTTTCCATGACAATACTTTCCATCAGTGGTTCGTCAAAGAATAACTCGAAACATTCCAGTTCAGTGGCATTGTTCCCAAGTGTACAAGATGGCCGTATTCCACTTTGGCTGTCATCAAACTGGTGGGCATTTGGAACAAAATTGACAGCTTCCTGCTAATCCCAGGTGCGGTCTGCTGGTGGGTACTGGACAATGACAGGTGGTTGTGGTTGTGGAGGTGTGGTTGTGGAGGCTGGTGTGGTGGGTGAGTGGGGGATGGTGGCCTTTGTTGTAGATCAGCTGACGCAGAGGCGTGGGTGGCAGCATGGCCCACTGCTGGTACCTCGCCGCCGGCACCACTACCACCACGCACATTTTCCATCCCAATTGCAACAGTATCATCGTCATTTTCACTGTCTGTTCCTGTTGTACAGCCACGGGATGTACTCCGAGATACACTCCTTCCCCTTGGCATAACATATGGCACACTACCAGAGCGCATATATCGTCGTATATACTGACGCTTCACTGGGGAATATTGCACTTCACTATCACTACTGGAACTAGTTTGAAGAGCTTGTAGTTCATATTCACTCTCACTATCATCACCCATGCTCTCATCTGAGTCTGGGATTTGGGAAAATAGAAGTTTCCTCTTGGGTTCTGGTACAACTGAACGTGAACAAGACGGCCCAGCACCAGAGGTGGAAGGCTGAGGGTCGTCTGGGTTTTCCTCACTATTACCGATATTATGGTCATTAGTTTCGGTCAAAACCTCACCAAAACCATGAAACTCATCTTCACTGGCACTTCCATCTGTATTAGAACTGTCACTGGGGAACAAAAGTGTCCCAATTCGCCGAGGAGTGAGGAGCTTCTTACCGCGAGGCATGGTGGACATTGTTTACTAAGAGGGTGTTCCCA